TCTAAATGTATTCCTTTGATTAGGCTTGTTAGATCTTCTAAATCCCTATAGATATTTTGGTCTTTTTAACTATCAATAATGAAAACAGGGCAAACATTTAAATTTCTTCCTATAATTAACTTAATTGTAGTTAAAATAGTGTGAAGATATTTTATTAAGTGCACACATGCTTAGAATTGTTAAATGTCCCTGATTAACTTATCTTCTTATTATTTTGTAGTAACTTTTTCTAACTCTATGAAAATATTCTTTGTCTTAAAATTGTTTTGTCTGATATAAATAACTACCAGCTTTGTCTTGAATAATTTTTGCCTGATATGTGTTTTCCCATCGCTTTTCTTTCAATCATTGTCTGTTGTAATAAAATACGTAATTTTTAGCCATGAAATCTGTCTTTGTAGTGGTCAATTTTAACATCTGTTTAAATGTAGGTTTCTCAATCTTGGCACTATTGGCAATTTGATGGGATAATTCTTTTGGGGGTGGTGGTTTAGTGTGCATTGTAGGTCGTTTAGCAGCATCCCTGATCCCCTTGATGCCAGTAACATTGTCAAGTTGTGAAAGCTAACAATGACTCCAGACATTGCCAGTTGTCCTCTGGGGGCAGCATTTTCCCTGACTAAGGATCACGAATTTTTTAGTATTGACAGTGGAATCTTTTCATGTCACTTTGGTTTATTATTTCTGTTTATCCTAGTCTCTTTGTATTTATAAATTACTATGTTTTTTTTTTTGTTTTTTTTTTTTACTAGATAAGCTGTTTTTGGTACCCACTAGAAATTTGGTGTACCACATTATTTATTCTCTTTCATTTAACACATGTTTTCAACATTTCCAAGATTTGTTCCCTTCTTATAGAAGGTCTTCCTTAAAAACATTTTAAATGTGCTTCTTTTGTGTGGCAAACATCCTGGATTTTCAATGCCTCAGAATAGTTGATCATGCCCTCACTTTTAAATACAGTTTAGCTGGGTATAAAACTCTAGCTTCTAAATTATTTCCCTCATCTTCCTGTGTCTAGAGTCACTCTTTAAAAATGTGGTTTCTGTGGTATGTTCTTTCTGTGCTGAAACTTTGCTATTTTAAGATTTCACCATAATTTACCAAGCAATGCTTTTGAAATGATCTCTTTTTACGTTCTATGGGGTCTTTCAATATAAAGTCTTCCTTTTTTTTCAATCCTAGCAAAAATTATCTCTGTAATTTCTTTAGGTATTTCTTAGGACTTCTGTTACCTATATCTGCTTCTGTCCTTCATTTCTCTCAACTGATCTTTTGTATTTCCCAGTCATTATTCTTTCTGCTTCCTTTTAAGAGAGTTCCTCAACTTGTTCTTCCCCTTTACTAAATTGTCCTTTAGCTGTATCCATTCTTTTTTTTTTTTTTTTTTTTTTGAGATAGGGTTTTGCTTTATCACTCAGGCAGGAGTGCAGTGGCACAAACATGGTGGGCTCAAACAATCCTCCCACAACAGCCTTCCAAGCAGCTGGGACCACAGGTGCACACCATCATGCCTGGCTCTTTATTTTTATTTTCTGTAGAGATAGGTTCTCACCATGTTTCCCAAGCTTGTCTCAAACTCATAGGCTCAAGTAATCTTCCAACCTTGGCCTCCCAAAATTCTGAGATTACAGAAGTGTGCCACTGTGCCTGGCCTACCTGTATCATTTCTTAAAATTCCATCTGCTTTATTCTTCATTTCAAATGTTGGATATTTCATACTGCTATGGCATGAATGTGTCCCTGCAAAAATTTGGGTGTTGAGACTTAATGGCCAATGTGATGGTAGGAGGTGGGGCCTTTAAGGGTGATTCGGTCATGAGAGCTCCTCAATAATGCATATATCAAAATAGTTCTAAGAGAGGATTTTGAATGCTCTCACTACAAAGAAATGATAAATGTTTGAGATGATGGATATACTAATTACCCTGACTTGATTTATTATACAATGTATACATGCATTATATACATGCACACTGTACCCCATAGATATGTACAAATAATCATTTGTCAATTAAAAACAAACAAAAGAGTAACCTTCTGAATGAGGCTTTCCTTGGCTAACTTCTCTAAAAATGAAAGAAAGGAAGGAAAGAAGGAAGGAAGGAAGGAAGGAAGGAAGGAAGGAAGGAGAGAGAGAGAGAGAAGATGAAAAAAACCCCCTGCACTAACAATACTTGTCACTTCACATTTTCCTTTTTTTCCCCATAGCACTTAACACTATTGAGCACCCTATCTATCCCACTGACTAATCTTGTTTATTGTCTTTCTTTACAAGGGCAGTGATTTTATATGGCTTGTTCACTGCTGTGTGCCCTTCTAGAGTATAAAAAGTGGATAAAGAATTATGCCTGCATGTGGGACAAAGAGAGAAGCCAAGACAATTTCCAAGGTTTGGGAAGGTGGCTGGACCAGGAGGTCAGGGCTGTAGGAGACACCCATACTTCTTGGAGATGACCAGTGGGCTGATGGAAATGTAAGCTCATTGCTCAGTCATGAAGTAGAGGCAGGGGCATAACAAATGCAGCAAGATTTTCTGAATGAAAAGAAACAAATCATGTTCACTGTGGAAATTGAGATTGTATCAAAATAGAAATAAAACAAGGACATTATCTACACTCACATAGCCATGGTTAATATTTTGATGTATTTCATTTTGGTTTTATGTGTGTGCGTATGCAATATAATTGCATTCTGCTTTTCTTTTAGCCCACCACAGACATTTTCTTATTGTAACTCCTATTCAAAAACATTTTTAGTGGTGGCATAATATTCCTTTGTACCAATGCATTTCAGTGTAAAATGCCCTTGTACTTAACTGTCTGTGCATGTCTCTGATGATGCCTGTGGGATTTATTTCTGCAGTGGGATGACTAGTTCAAGGAGTTTGATCAGATCAGAAACATCCCTCTAGACAGGCTGCCACAGCAGAGAACCTGGAATCCCATTAGGACACCCTCATTAACACCGGTGATTTTTATTTTTCCTAAAGTGTGCTGATTTGATAACTGAATCTTAGGAAGCTATTGTTGTAGCACCTGCATTGCCTTGACTCCCACGGAGGAGACCACCCTTACTTGTTCATTTCTGTGTGTTTGTGTGTGTGCAGGTTGCTTGGGTACATGTGACCTTAGGGGTTAGTGGAAGCAAAAGTCCGAGGGAGCAGAAGTTGGTTGAGGAAGATAGCAGAGGATCAGAAGAGGCCCCATGAGTCTACCTGGGAGGCCAAGGCAGGGAGGTAGAGGAACTGGAGGGTCCGGAGGAGAATGAGAGTATGCAATTTTAGGTATTTACTGGAAGTGGCAAGAGAGCATTTAGAGGGAATAGGTGATCATAGGTATTGTGTTAGTCAGGGTTTTCCAGAGAAATAGAACCAACAGGTTATATCTGTCTATCTTCTATCAATCATCTATCTATCTATCCATCTATCCATCTATCTATCTATCTATCATCCATCTATCTATCTATCTATCTATCTATCTATCTATCTATCTATCTATCTATCTATCTAATCTGTCATCTATCTAGTCTATCTACCTACCTACCTATCTCTAATCATCCACCAAAAAAGATTTATTACAAAAAATTGGCTCATATAAGTATGGAGGCTAAGTCTCACCATCTGTAATCTGTAAGTTGGAGAACCAGGAAAGCTGGTGGTGCAATTTTGCCCAGGCAGGCAGATAAAAGGCACAAATTCTTTTTTCCTCTGCCTTTTGTTCTATTCATAACCTTAATGGATCAGTGGATGCTGCCCTGCCCACACTGGGGAGGGCAATCTACTTTACTGAGTCCACTGATTTAAATGCTAATCTCATCTGGAAACACCTTCACAGATACTATGCTCACAGTATCACCCTCACAGATGCTGTATCTGGGCACCCCATTGCCCAGTCAAGTTGACACATAGAATGCATCATCATGAAGTGTGGGAAGCAGCAGAAGTTAGAGGTTAAGAAATGAGGACAAGAAAGGGCACATGAGTTGGTGGCTCCCAGGAAAACAAACCTAGTGGGCTTAGAAGGCAAGCATTATTTTGTAGCTCATAGCTCTTCAGCAGCTCCCAAGGGGTTGCTATGCTCCAGGCCTGGATTTCCAGACACTTGGCCTCGCTTCCTAGGTGCTCCAGGATTCTGCCACATAACTCTCCACAGCACTTGGTGACTGCTCCCTGCAATGGGCTCCCTCTGCTCACTGTCTCCCTCCATCTTCACAGCTTTGCAGTCACAGCACCCCCAAGGGGCCTGCCTTCTCAGTTTTCCTGGTTTCTCATGTGATCAGCCTGAGACCACACCCCATAATCCCCATCCTCTGAACACTTACAGAACCAACTTGCTGCTCATCACATACAACACATGTGATAAGGGTATTTTAGATGTTTCATCAACAAATCAGACATGGTGCTAGACAGGAGGTAACTCTTCGACAGCAATTTATCCTTGGATGCCCTGAAGCCACAGGCTCAGTGTTTTTGTCTAAAGTGGCTTTGACAAGTAACAATTGTTCCAAGGCTGCAGATAGGGGACTTAGATCCCAGAACCACTTCTACTTGGAGCAGAGAAGGGCCACTCTCTGCTTGGAGATGGGAAGGGGACACAGCAGTAAAGGGCATGAGACTTAATTGCTGAGTGTCTGTTCTGGTCCTTCCCTGCTTGTCCGTGGACGGCTGCTAGTGTTAGATGGAACAATACAGGACACAACCCCAAAAAGGCAAGGACCAGTCACATAGGTGCACATTGCTGACCTGATCAAACCTGGGCCACAGACTGTCCCAACAATACAACCTCCTAGAATTGGACCATCTTGCGGATATGATCCAATGCCTCCATAGGTTGCCCACAAAGCCATGGAAACTGACTTGGGTTCTTTTGCGAGAGAGGAAAGCAGGGAAATGTTTGTGTTTATGAAGTTTCCCACTACAGCTAAAATATTTTCCCCTTTCAGGATTATTTTACTAGTGATACAAAGCCCAGAGATGGTCAATAACAAAGGGAAAGAGATTTTTATTTTTAATGGTAAAAACTTTATTTACTATTTATAAATACATTGCAAGACAAACTTCTCAAAAATACTTTTCCCCCCAGAAATTAAAAAAATAAAGAAAAGCTAATAGGTAGGCAGAATGTCTTGAGACCCCTCTGTTTTCAAGGAGACCTCTGTGCAGCGTGTGTTCACACCGAGGGCTGCAGCAGGGCAGAGTCTCCCTGAGCCTGACTTTGCCAGACCTCCTTGGGTTTGGCCTCTGGGAGAGCAGCCCAGCCTCTGGGCACGAGCTCCTTTCCTCAGTCATGGCCACAGTTGTATCATATAGCATCTCTAACATTTCATCTAAGATTATCTAGTATAGATCTTATTATATTTGGGGCTATGTTGTATACAATGTTAACAAGGACATATCTTCTCTGCATATATGTGTGAATTATAAAGAAAAGCATGAGAATGACTCTAAGTTCAACAAACATGGGTGAATCTCTATGTGCTCCCAGTGTCCTGGATGGGCTCCCCAGCAAGCCATTCCTCCTTCCTGCTCTGATATTACTATTCCTTTTTACATTGTGCCAAGGAGGACAAAAGATGAGAGAGGAAAATAAAGCTTTGCCTTTAAAGAGCTTATCCTCAGAAATAAGCTTTGTCTTGAGTTGTTGAACTACGAAACACTATTTTCTGCAATCATCTGAAGAATCATGCCATTATTTGTGATGCCTCTGAATGGGGAGGCTGACTCTCCCTGTCTCTCTGTCCCTCCTACCCCATGGGACCACAGCAAAAGCCATCCTGGGCCTTCAACTAGGCCATGTCTTCAGGAAGGTTCCTGAAAAGGAGGGCCCGTAATATCTGCCTTTATAGGTTCCCAGATTGCCCTAGAACATTCTTAGATATACATTTTTTTAAACAAGTAGGACTCCACCTTATTTTCTCCAATAGTCCCCAAGCAGTACAGACCAATGAAGATATAAACATTATTCTTGGTTGAGGGACCCAAGCCCTTGTTTCAAAAATGACACCACAGAAGGCTGTGAGCTCCAGGAGCATGCGTCGGGATGTCCGGATGACCGGGGTGTAAGGGTTTCCCTATTCTCAATAAAGCCTGTGCACACTGTACAGGGAGTGGGGGTGAAGCGTGTTCTCTACATAGGCAACACAGCCGCCTAAGTCATGAAGTCAGTGGTTGGCTGCTTCGACCAACATGTGGTGAGCATTCCACGGGGGGATGAAGTCTGGGTACTGTGCTTGAGTCTCTGAGTACTTTGATAGGAAGCAACAAGAAAATTCAAACTGCTTTTTGCTGACTACTGGAAAGTGAAAAGATGCTCAAGTTTACCATTCAAAGAAACCATAGGCATTTCAAAAACCTCTTTCTAAACTTTGGTTTAAAAAAATATCAGTTCACCACAAACAGAAATATAAATCGAGGCTGTAGCCAGCTGCTGGTCATGTCCTTGGCAGTCTTTTGTGCAAAATAAGGCATATTTGAGCTCCACATTAACTAAAACAAAAAGAAAAAGAAATATATTGAAATAATCCCCCCAAAATCAAAAGGGCTCAACTCTTGCCCTGAGATATCCAGCACAGCCTGCAGGCTAATGGCACTAGGCCTGCAAGTGCAGGGCTAGGGTCTCAACCCATGTTTTTAAACACAACAACAAGTACCATCTGCTGCTCACAGGGTTCACTGTCAAAGAGTTACCCTCAAATTAGAATTATGTTTTTCCAACTTGTAAGGAAAAAAGAAACCCTTCTAACTAAACGTGCAAATTTCTTTTGCTTACTAAATTTGTCTTAATAAAATGAAAGAAAATGTATTTATTTCTTTCCCCCAATAGTTCCCTCATTTATTAAAAGAAAACAGAATACTGGGTATAATAGCATTCTCTAAAATGATTGTTTAAAATTTCATTTTTCTACCAGATTTAAATGAACTTTATTAAAATTATATTAGCCACAGACTAACAGAACATTCATAATATATTTTACAGAAAAAAAAGCCGCATCTTCAGACTGATGCTCTCCCAACTGAGCTATTTCAGCTGTCTCACATTCACATTTTTAATTTAGATACACGTATCTGTAGCAGGTTCTTGCGGATTAAAACAGTTTCCCTGTGAAGATAAATGGACCTCCAGACTTCACGGGCAAAGCCTAACTTTGAAAATCTTCACTTTGCATGTGGATGAATGACAGCTTAGGTGCTGAGAGGTGTCTGAAATAAAGCAGAGCATCCCTGAGGCACACTGGCCGGCCTCCTTCCCCACACTTGTTTGGTTGGGTTGAAGGGGTCTCCCTCTCCCTGCACCCTTCTGAGGGCTCTGTCCTATTTGCTTTGCTCTTTCTGGCCCTGAGCTGCAGCTCCTGGGTCTGCAAGCCTGGGGAAGGGCTGGTGGCCAAGCCCAGCCCATGAGGCTAGTCCAAGGACAGTGAGGCCCTGGAGCCCCAGGCTGCCCCTCCTGAGTGCTCACCCTCGCGGCAGGCGTCTACTTGCTCTGCATGCTGTAGCAGTGCACGTCCTCCTTCCCCTTGGTGGTGTAGCCTGGGAGAGGCTGCCCGTACTTATCCACACACCAGCAGAAGCCCCGCTTCCTGCCTTTGGAAGGGCGACACTGTGGGAGAGAAACAGAAGACAGAGAGGTGAACGCCCCTGGGTCTGGTGTCAGGTCGGTGACCAGGGCCCATGATGGTTTGCCAGCATGACTCTGCTATGCTGAGAAAGCATAACAGAAATTTCAGCTAAGGCTGCGTAAGAGCCACGCATGCCTAGGCCCGCTGACTGTGTACCTGTGCATGCGTGTGGGTGTAAGTTCCTTCTCCAAGAAAGCGGGGGTGGGGGCAGTTTTGTGTTTCTAGGAGTGTAAGGTGGACACCAGTCCTTGCAGAACCTCTTGGGCCTGCCGACTTCTCTGCCAAATGTGGGACTGAGAACATCCCCTCTGCCTGGGAATGCCACAGCTGTGCCTTTGGAGCCCACATCCAGCCTCACACGACACCTTCTCAGTATGAATTTGTTGAATGAATGACTGATGTAAAATGTGGGTATAAATAAGCCATGGCAATGGAGGAAAGCTTAGGCTTTCTGACTGTGGCCACTACTACGAATCTTGGTATATGGTCACCCTGAGGCCACTGTGGCTCACTTAGGTCTCCGAAGGCCAATTCTGTAGATACCAATTAGAAAGCCAATTGAAACAGTGCCATCACATAACACAAAGTCTATAGAAGCATATTTATTACAGCTTCATATTACTACACCTTAAATTTGTTTGATCATTTTCAGCTTGTTTAATTGGGACTTTAGGCATATGACTACATTTGGGACTGATGTATAGACAGGATTCTCACTCCATTCCTTTTCCAGGAATAGGACTGTGTTGCAATATAAAGATTTTGAAAAGACTGCTGTTTGATGTTGATGACTCTCATGCCTTCTTCTCACTTGGGTTTTCTAGGGAAAGGCCAGTGAGTCGCAGGAAGACCACAACATGGCCAATTTGGAGAGCCTGGCCGTCCCCAGCATGGACCGAGTGTCTGATTTCAAGTTCCATCCCCTCCATGTAAGACAAACACCTGGTGTGTGCTGGGGATGGCTGGGCTCTCCAAGCTGGCCATGCTGCAGTCTTCCCCCAACTCACTAGCATTTCCTTGAAAAGCCCAAGGGAGACAGAGACACAGGAGTCATCAACATCTAGCAACGGTCTTTTCAAAATCTTAATATTGCAATCTGCTCACTATCAGGAAGACATCAGTAGAAAAGGGGACAATTGTGGGATTTCAAGGTAAGCTTTTTGTGGTACAACCTCATGTCACACTTCTTGGAAACTGACTGTAATAGTTGTTTGAAATGGGACACAGCATTAACAAATGTGTCAACATGTTCACCTGCAGTTCATAAAGGGTGCCCCTGGGCAGTACCTTGTCCACCCTGTGGGTGAACCACTGAAAGGGCAGGAGCGGGAAATGGGTGGTGGAAAGGCACTAGGGTTGAGGATTATGGCCAATATAGCAGCACTCAGCGCAACAAGTCAAAACAGCCCTTGGTCTTACCTCCTGAGACTGGCACCAAGTCCTGGGCACTGGCGCTGCACAGGCTCAGAGTTAGAGCTATGGCCAGAAGAGCCTTGGGGCTGGTGAGGTGGGTTTCTCCTCTGCGTCAACAGAACCCGAAGAGGAAGAAAACACACTGAGGACCTCACTTACCTGCTTTTTCTTATAAAATCCCTTCTTGTCACAGTTGGGAATGTGCACACCCCTGGGACTCAGCACGTTGAGGAACTTCAGGTGATTCAGTGTGTCTTCCATTTCTCTCCGGCAGGGACCCTGGGGATCAGGAAGGACCAGAGCAACACAGTCATGGTTATTACTCTAGAATGTGTGCTTTAAAAATCTTACAATGCCGCACGACTGCCCAAAGTGGGACCTGTAATTTGCTCCTCAGATACCTTATGCCTGATTTAGCAAGAAAGTCCCTCGAATAAGCTAACCATCACTCCCTGTCTCCCTTTTGCTCTTCCCAGAGTAAGTCACAGAAGCTGGTATAGAACCAATAGCAGGTCAACAAGCACAGAGGATGAAGTAAATAAAATAAAACTATCTTTATGAGAATATTTTTCATTATCTCTAGAGGTCTTTATGACATCCCATATGCTTTTAAGAGTGTTGTTTCAGCTTGATCCTCATAAGATTCTCCAAAAGGGTCAATATTCTTTATGTAAGGAGAGGAGAGATGTGAGGCACAGAGGGGCTAGGGACTGCCCACCCAACTGCCAGATGCTGGGGCTTGTTGAGTAAGAACTGCCCTCAAGAGGCTCTGAGTACCCAGGCTTGGCAGGTCTTGCCCTCCTCGTTTAACAAGAGGAAAAGCTCTCACGTATTCTGTCTCCCGCTTGGACTCGGAGGAGAAGTTCTGGGTATCTGTGCTCTGAGACTCATAGTCGACTTTGTAGCGCTGGCTGTCTTTAGCATGCCCTTTCTTGATGATGATTATCTTTGAATGGACGGGGTGGAACTTGGGATCAGACACCCGGTGCGTGCTGGAGACGGACGGGCTCTCCACACTGCCGGCGCTGCGGTCTTCCTCCGACTCACTAGCATTTCCTTGAAACGCCCAAGGGAGACAAACACGTGAGAGTCATCAACATCTATCAACAGTCTTTTAAAAATCTTAATGTTGCAACCAGGTCACATGTAAATGACAATATTAGCTGACCATCCAAATAAGTTTTTTTTTTAAAATACCTCGATGAAGTATTAGTCCATAGTACTACTCGCTACATGGTAGTTGCTCTACCTCAAGAAGTTATCTGTTTGAAAGTCAATCTGACAGGGGCTCTTCCTAAGTAGCTGCAACTAAAGGCGGCAGACAAATGCTTAAGTGCCCCTCAGTAGAAGGTGAAGGCGGTATGCTTCATCTTCCACCGGCAGGGGGCAGACCCGAGTCACAGGAGGCTGCTGCGGCGCTGGCTCAGAAATTTTGCAGTGAACTCCAAGTATGGTCCTCCCACCCGTGGGAGCAGCGGCAGCCTGGAGGACTTGGAAGAAATGCATATTCTCCACTCCGGAAACGCTGGAGTGGCGGCAGCAGTCTGAGTTGTAACAAGCCCTTACGGGAATTCCGAGGTTGACCAGTACCGTCCTCAATGCTACCAGGTAAACAGGCTTATAAGAGCTTGGTGTCCAGCTCAGATGGGAAAACTGAACTATTACCTGCAAAGCGTTTTGCCTCAGGGGCTCAGAATCATGCAAGCATGTTGGTGGCTTGTTTTCTAGGTCCCCGTTACATCTCTAAAACTCAAGGTCTACACAGACCCTGTGCATCCTGCTGGTACCTGCCTGAGTCAGTCCTCTTCATCCCTGGTGAGCACAGGAGCACATGGATGCAGACAGTGCCCAAGTCCCACTCACAGCTCAGACTTCTAAGTGCCAAAGAGCTTTTCCTTCCCTGGGTGGGGATGGGGTAGGAGAAATCCCCCTCCAGCAGATCTCCCTTTTATAATAAAAAGTGCTAAATGAAGAAAGTCTGATACTTAAAATAGATGTTGGAATGTTAACAGTTGAATTAGAATTTTAAGTATATGACTAAATTCGAGACTGGATCTGTGGGCAGGATTCTCACTCCATTCCTTTTTCAGAATGAACTTGGAGGGGCTGTAAGACCCCTATGGGGATCAAAGGCTACATTCAGAGCCCATGCTCCCAGAGCCTGTGGACCATGCCAAGCTCAGCCCAGCACAGACCTCTGAAGGGCTTCGGCTTAAGTCCACAATTGAGAGTCATGAAATTTCTCTACTACAACAAACAAGACTATAATGTGTAACCCTAGCAGGGAGCTCAGGTGGCCCATCTGGTCCACAATCTATTCTAGAAAGCTACCAGGGCTGCAATGATTTGGTTGCAGATGCTCTGCTCTCCCCTGGAAGTGGCTACTGGCAGGTCACTCACCAGGGCCTTAGTTTCCTCACCTACCAAACAGCTCACTGAGGTCCTGCTGTAAAGTTCCCCAAGGGGTTTCACGCCTTGGGAAGCACACATTCCCAGGGTCCAGGCCAGAGCCTCGCAGAGGAGCGCCCTACCTGCGAGGATTTGGTTTCAATTTCTTTTAATCTTAGCTTTCTTTCTTTTTCAAGGAAATACTGAGATAAAAGAGATACTAAGAATGTAAATATTCTAAGAACATGTAAATAAACATATTTATATTTCTTTTCCAAGAACCTTGAGTAATTTCTTAAATTTCCTTGCTTTCTTCTTAATGCCTGGGCTGCAGACTAGGGCATGAAGAGAAAACAGTTCTATTTAAGCAACAGATAATTGTGACTTTTGACTGTCACAAATTCACCTTTTTTTGTCAAATGCATTCTAGAAGTCACTTAGATCTTTTTATAATCTTATAGCTCACATTAACCTATACAACAGAGCTACTAAGACGGTAAGCATGATTGCTGAAGCCTAAGTGACAATGTGTATCAGTATTTCTAAGATCACTTTTTGAACACCCCAACATGCACAATAATGTACAACACTTGGCAAATGACATAACTTTGCCCCGAGAGACAAATGCCTCCAGCAGCTTTAACAGCTGACCACAGCCAGTGTATGTTTCAGGCATCTGGAATCTTGCCTTTCCATGAATCCAGTGTTTCTCAGGGGTGAACAGAGCCAGCCTTGCCTAGCCAGAAAATAACTTTACCTGGGCATGGAACTCTACAGCTACATAAATTATAAAGAGACTGTTCATCCTGCTAGCCCTAGATGGGGGCCTGCCTAGTGACATCTGTCCAACGTGATCGTTGGGGAGTTGGGGGGATTAGGATGGGGAGAATTCTCTCAGCCTTCAGCTGTGCAAGGCAGGAACTTTATTTCCTCATATAACTAAGTGAGGCTGGCTAAGAATGCTTGAAAGATGAACGCCTGCCAAATCCACTTAAACAACGCCACCCGCCCCCCCCGCCCCGCTTTTTTAAGGGAACAATGTGATGCCCTTACCAGAGTCGCTGCCTGCCTGATAGACTGGTAGTGGCTGAGCCAAGAGGGTAACTCTGCCAAATGTTTGCATTTTTCCTCTTCTGGGGCACCCCTTAACATCTCATTCCCCCCCATTTCAGATTAAGAAGGGAGACAGCCCTAGGGCTGATTCCAATTCCCTTCCCTGTCATTGAAATTGACTTAGTCCACATTGCCCGCACCCGCCACGCACCTGGACGTTTGTTTGAGGTCCGCACAGGTGCGGAGGTGGCCTGAGTTGTAAGAATGGTATGGTACTAAAAGTGGCACGTGGGGTTCAAACCTACACTCTGTTATGGCCTCTGGGTAACCTTAAGAAGTTACTTCTTTTTCAACTTCAGGTTTTCCAACCGCAGAAGATACCAAAACCCGAATCCACTTTACTTGTTTTTGGACACACCGGGACTAGATACCGCTTTGCAAACAAAAAGGCTGTTCAAAGTCAGTATTTTAAAAGAGAGGTACTATTTCCTACAACCTACCTGCCCACCTTCCTTGGTCCAAATCCGCCTATGTCCCCCATCCCCAAGCATCCCTGGGATTGCGGTCCACATCCCCGCGCGGCGCGAGGAGAATCTCCTGTGTCCAGGATCTTTCCAACAGCTAAACGTCGGTACCGCTCCCCCCAGCTCCGGAAACCTTTAACCCAGTTTCACTGAAAGCGCTTTGCAATTTACAAGTACTCTGCACTTAAGAGAATCAAGCAAGTAGAGGGCCGGCAGGGGAGGGTCCCTCCGGTGAGCGCCTTCAGTTTCCCCACATACTATCTCCAGTGAGAAGAAAACCCGAGTCTCCAGCAGCGGCCCCCAGCAACCCCCAGGCCCTTCCGCGCCAGTGCGCGGGCTGCTGCGAGCAGCGCACCTGGCGCGGGCGGCTCACCTGGAGCGGGCGGCGCTGGCAGCAGGTAGGCGCGCAGGCGGCTGACGGCACTAGAGTTGACGCAGAGCCCGCGGCCGTCCAGCAGCGCCTGCAGCGGGCGCGCCTCGTCGGGCGACGGCTGGCAGCGGAGGCCGGAGCCACAGCGCTCGGTGTAGATGCCGCACGGCTGGCCCTCGCTCAGCGCGCATGTCAGGCAGCAGCCGCAGCCCGGCTCGCGCACCAGCTCGGCGCACACGGCGGGCGGAGGCGCGCACTGGGCCAGTGCACGCGCGTCGCACGGCTCGCAGCGCACCACGGGACCCAAGCCCGCAGAGCTCGCGCCAGCCCTCGCCACTGGCGGCCCGCGGAGCAGCACCAGCACAGTCAGCGCAGCGGCCCAGAGCGTGGGTCGCGCCCGCTGCATGACGCCCGCCACCGGGGCACGCTGCTTGGCAGGCCGGGGCTCGCAGGGATGGCGCGACAGTACGCGGCGCGAGGCTGTGGAATCCAGGCAGGCAGCGGCCGATCTTTAGCGCCCAGCCGCAGCGCTCGCATCTGGGCGGCCCGGGCGCGCCGGCCGCTATATAGAAGCCGGGGTGGCCCAGGACACGCCCCGGAACGGCGCGCCCAGGAGTGGGGGTTGGGGAGGGGGGCGGGTCGGCGCAGGCACGGCTGCGGGGGCGCGTGCCTCGCCCTGAGCAGCCAGGGCCGAGCTCGGGGGCGTGCAGCTCGCGACTCACCCGGACACCTGCTCCTCTTGCGCAAGCCCGGAACCCGGGTCACCTTGTCGTCTACAGGAACCAAGATGTGCCCGGTCACCTCGGCACTCCAGGCCACCTCAGTGCCCCCGGTCACCCCAGTCACTCCTGGCTAACTCAGCACCCCCGATCTCCTTGACCCCGCCGCCCTTCCCCCTTCCGTTCTCGGGGTGAGGTCGCCCTGCGGCGAGCCGGTGTCGAGGAAACTGGCATGCATCGCTCCGCATTCGTGTGTACCTTGTGGAGCTTTCTAAAATTTAATTCCGCTGGCAGGGGAAGTCTTGGGACATTTCTGATTTACATTTGGGTCTCAGGGAGCCAAGGCACTGCGGGATTTAATTTACACCCGCTGGGCTGTTTACGTCCCCGGGGTCCACAAATACGCATCTGAAGATGTCCCCGGGGCCCAAAAATACGCATCTAAAGATGCGCCCGGGGCCTTTGCCCCATTCAAGGTTTGCTTCTCAACACAAGAAAACTCACACGTGTTGCTACACCGCAAGTCCCCAATTAAGAGTGGACAGGCAAGGTAATGCGTCCTTAAGGCAGGGCTTTTCACCTATTTTAAATGACAACTGTTCTTCCTGTTTGGGATATTCTCCCTGATTACGTTTTCAAATAGAGTTTACACTCACGACAAAAGAATAACAAAGACAATAAAGTGGGCACTGCTGAAGCGTAATTAACCAAATAGTCCTTAAAATAGGCAATTTTCATTGTCATTTTTTGAAGGCGACTTCGTAATACTGTATTCTCTTTGATGCGTTGGGATTCTCGTTTATCTCTGCAATCTAAGCATTTTTCAGTAAAGTTCGCGGGCGCAAATGCGCGCTGAGGTCGCTGTAACTCCTGTCGGTCTTCTCTGGCACTCGAGCGTCTTCAATTTTGTCTGCACACCCCCTCCCTTCGGTGACCAACAGAGGACGCTGGTGGTCCAGGATTGGATTGAGGATTAAATTTTTCAAGGTGCTTTTCCAAAGAGTTTGTGGGGGTGGAGTGGGAAGCTGTGAGACCTCCGCGGGAGGAGACTTTCCTGAACGCTATTGAAATTGGACGCTTGCCTTAGGAGGTGGATAGGTGACTTGAAGGAGTCCTTTGCAGTTTGGGGTAGCAACAACAAATCAGGAGCTCCTCCATTCCCCTCCAGCATGAAGCCTTGGGTGAAGTTAATCTTCATTCATCATTTCTGTCTCTCCTAATCGATCTCTCGCCCAGTGTCTCTCCTTGTTCTTCTCCCTCCCTTTCTCTCTCTGGTCCTCTCCCCTTTTTCCCCTGTCCACCTCTTCCCCCATGTCTATACATCTTCCTTTTATACATATCTGTACATCCTCCTTTTAGAATGGAAAGACCAATTTCGTTCCTTCTTGTACTAAATAAATAATTGGATCTCTACAAAGAAAAAGAGACCAAAGACAAGAACAATGGAGGGTCCCAGGGTGACAAAGGTCCAGCCCTGTCATTATCTTATGAGCTCTTCCCCCACAGTGCTCAGGCTGTGGCTACACTCAACCTTGTTTACAGGAAACCGCGCCATAATCGTCACTTGCTGTTTCCTTTCTCCTGTATCACCACCTTCTAGTGTCTGCGTTGACACTCACGAACAGGATCTCTGATTTCGTTGAAAAATTGAAGGAAACAAAACGAATCCCGCAGGTTTACATCCGTTCCTTAAATACTTGCAGAGACCTTGACTCTGAAATTAGAGCTGGGTTCGGCATCAAATGCAATTCTTGAGGTCGCAGGTCTGCAGTTCTGGTTAGTGCAATGTTACAGCGGAGCCTGGACTGACTAGTTAGTGTAGCACTTTTTACTCAGCTTTATCATCTGGAGAGTGGAGAGGGGAAGATAAGAAAGAATGTCTTTTTGGAAAGGATTTAAAAAATATGTTTTATTCTTGGTTTTCTTCTTTTTTCCCTCGCATTACAGTTGGAGAAACTTGTTCAGTGCCGGATGGCTAGGGGGCGCCAAAGCGCCAGACGTCCAGCCCGGCCTCAGGGACCACCGGACAAATGCAAAGACTAAGTCACACTGCAACTTTCAAAGACTATTCCAATAACAATGTTTTATATAGATTGCCATCACCTTTATCATGACATCTTGCAACAGCAGAGTAAATTTGAGGCAGTGACACGGGGAGAATTGTGTTTTGTTATTTAGCCAGTTTTATTTGATAACTGCAAGCTCCTTGCCCCTTCCGGAACATAATTGTTGCAGGAAGGATTTGGACTGGATAAAACTTAATTTTGTGACATGCTCGTTAATTCTGTTAAACTTCCAATTCATCTGGTGTTTGTAGTTTTTAATATAAACTAGTGTTTAGTGAGAAAGATGTTTCACCCCCTGTGAAGGTGCTTGGCATACAATTGCTAATCATTGCAAAAGTAGCAAATAACCATCCGAATAGAGGTCAGGAGGCTGCATAGATCTCTTTTCACTAACAGAGTCCTGCTGACCTGATTATAATTAGTGTTTCCTGGGGTCAGCCTCGTTATTTTCACCAGGTGACCTAAACCACTAATTTCCTTGAGCCCACTCCTGATGCTAAAGGGCACCTTGTCGCTGCGTGATACTGGCTCCCTTGCTTTTCTTCTGCTCAGGCCCTGGCTGGACAAGCCACCCGAGGGTCTCTCTCCTTCTGACAGCAGTACTGTTTCTCAATGTCCTCTGGGGTGTGGCTGTCAGGCTTACTGACCACTAATAGTCTTAGAACAGAAACAGCCAAACTTCTAAAGGCAAGCAATGTTGGGGACCCAGTTGCTAGGAGTGAGTGGCTCTCAGCCTATAAACTTCAGTTTTTGTTCCCCTTAAGGGAAGTATTGGTGGGGACAGGAAACCTAATTTTCTCTCCACCAGATCGCCTGCTGGGTGAGCCTCCTGGAATTACATATACTAGGCTTGGGGATGCAATGGGGACCATCAACTGCTAACATCACGGTGGCTAACAACACTGCACATGACTTTTACTCACAAATAACATCATTAAGAGTTCATCTGTCCACTTAGTCCATAAATGATTACTAAGCACCTCCATGTGCCAGCTGCAGGGTTTCACAGACTGGCTGGAGTGACTCACCAGAGACCAGACAGTGGTAGGCAGTGTGACAGCAAAGAAAACAGAGGGGTTCACCGGGTGCATTTATAACCCTGCTGGAGGGATGGCAAACCTGTCCGTGTGGTCAGAAAAAACTTCTAAGAGGTGGTGGCATTTGAATTGAGTCTTAAACAATGTGGGAGAGTCCAGCTGAGAGATGCAGGCAAGAAGAAAGTGTGGGCATTCACAGAGAGTTTTTCTGTGTGCCTGGAGGGGTGAGGGGGAGGGCTCAGAGGGATGGTGTTGGCATTGTGCATGTGACCTGTGGAAGGCATAATTCTGAGATTTGGAAGAGAAGAGAAGGTAACTGGATATACTGGATTGGGACAGTGGTACCTGTGGCATAGGAAATCCATGGTCCAGAGACAGGGACTCCTCAGAGTTAGTGCTGTTCCGTGTTGTCAGACAATCTGGAGATAGATGACAGGCCTCCTGAGAAGGGGCCTGGACATGTTCTGAACAGAAGACCAGCTCTCCTGGGACCCCACCCCATGGAAGGGAGGTTTCTGCTCAGGACAATGATTCTCCGGTCATGGCTTTCTCTCTCACGATAGTGCTACCTTGTACATGTGGGCACCCACACCCTTGCCTACACAGTCAGTCATTTACATGACATGAGCTACCTGTCTGTCTCCTGGCCATTCAAACAGAGACAGTTCCTGACTCTGTCTAACATCCAACTTTTCTTCAAGGTCGAAACTTCAGAACAGTGAGAGAGACTGGGGATTTCAATCACAGTAGACTAGAGTTTATCCTAGCAGTTCTCCTCTCAATAGCTTTCTGACATTGGGCAAGTTCTGCAACTTAATTCTAGGACCAGGTAAGGGCACTAGTACCTATCTTACAGCACTGATGGAAGGCTGAATGAACTCTTAGATACAGTGTTGCCTGGTGTATGGGAAATAAAAGTTCATCCTTATGTTCACATAGCCTCCTGAACAATCTTAAATTAGAGGTTTTATTCTCAAATGGGTCCTAGTGCACAGCCCACATACCTTGTCTCTTTAGTTCAAATGTCAACATGCTAACAATTGAGTCTACCTGTGGGCATGACATACAGTCTTCAAACTGGCCAAGTGTCTAATATGGTCTTTCCCTGCCCAGTGAGGTCTTAAAAGGGGCAGGAAAGATTTTAGGAGCACTTTTCATTCAGTTGGTTTATCCCTGGCACCAGTGTCAATCCTGTGTCTTTACCCAAGGGCATCTTTGGTGCCACTTCAAGCTCCTTTTCCAGCTTTGCAAGTCCAGATGGAAAGGAGAAGATTCCCAGTAGCTCTCCTATCATAGCTAGAAGAGTCCTGAGAGTCCTGTTATCTATCCCTTTCACTGGAGATGGAGAGACGGAGGCAGACCCTTTTTGCTGGATTTCCTAGATCATAATCCACAGATTATTCCATGGTGCCTTTCCAATTTGATAGACAGAGATAGACTTTTCTTTTTCATTGATGTATAATTAACATACATACACTACACAGATTGGAAGTGTATGATTTGATAGGTTTTGACATATGTATACACTTAGGAAATCGCTAACATACAGATGAACCTTTCCATCATCCTCAAAAACTTCTTGACCTTTTGTAATCTTGAGCCCTCCTTTTCTCCATTCCTATCTCTTGGAAGCTGTTGATCTCCTCTCTGGCACTCTAGATTAGTTTGTATTTTCCAGAATTTTATATAAGTGAGATAATATGGCATCTACCTGTTTTC